TTTTTTAGGCATTCAAGTATGTAAATCAATGAAGGACAAAAAAAGTTTTTAAAAATAATTAATTTAAAAAAATATAATAATATATAAAAAAAACATAATTGACAGGCATCACCATAGTTTTATAATTGAATAAAATACAAATGTTGCAAATAGAAATAGTTTTTAGTGAGTTTTTTTAAAAAAAATTTTTTTATTAAATTTGTTTTTAATTACATGGATATGGATGAGACCTCTTAGGTTAAAAGTTCTCAAAAAATTAAATGATAAAAATCAATAAAGCAAAAATAATAAAAATTTTTAAATTGATTGTGACTTACTTTTTCTTTTTTTGGTTTCATTAAAATGTCACATTAATTATTTTTTTCAATTTTTCTATAAGTTTCTTTAATAACATTTGCACCATAATTTGAGCAATCAAGTTCAATACAATGAAGTTTAGAGCCCCATTCACAATGAGCTACATCTTTTTGTTTATATATTTTTGTTTGAATTCTAGTAGATACTTCACCAGAGCCATGAATCTTAAAAATTTAAAATTAAAATTTAATTTACAATAAATATTTTAAAATGGGACAATTATGGTAAATGAATTAAAAAATCTATTAATAATACCTTCATAGTGATTGTCATATTTTCCCTAGAACCTCTTTTGCTTGGTTGTAAACCTTTTGTAGAATAATAAGAGGAATATGCACTAGCTGTAGAACTTCTTGCTCTTTCCCCAGCTATTATTTCTATTCCGTTAACCGTTAATAACCTTTTAAGAATTTTTTAAAAAAATTAATACAAATGGTGGATGGTTAATTTGAATTTAAAACAAAGTAAAAGTAAAAAAAAAAAAACTAATTTACTCCAAGTCTTTAGGTGGTATGAAACTGACATCCATTCTATATGTGCTATCAGAATGTAATTTGACAGTTTTAGGCTGGCTAAATCTATCATTTTTTTCCATTTTACAATAGACAGGAGTACCTTCAGGTGCCTTTCTCATTGACAATGTAACTTTGAATGTTTCTTTCTGTGTATTTTGCATGGCACATTTTTAAAAAACTGTTTTTCTATGTATTTTTCTATAAACTTAAAAATAATAATAATAATAACAACTTAATTACTTTTAATAAAAAATGTTTTTAAAATTAAATAACTAAATAGAGTAAATGATGATGATGATGATGATAACATACTGTAAATTAAAAAAATAAAAAAAATTTTTTTCTTTACCGTTGTTTTGTCTAAACACAAGACAGATTGTTTATTACTTAAAAAACTTTATTATTATTATTATTATTATTTTACTTTTTTATATACCATGCTGGCATAATAAAACTTTATATCATATTACAACAGACCTAAGACAATAAGTGCCAGTTGGACCCATCACTGATAATAATTTTTCGTGCTTATTGTTTTGTTTAAAAAAAAAATTTTATTTAAACAAAAAAAAGAAAAACTTTTTGTAATTTAAGAAAATTAATAATATCACCGTAGTATCCTTGGCCTAAAATGTGTTGAGAATGTGTTGCGTGCCGCTAATTTTTTATTTTATTTTTTTTGACAAAAAATAGAATTTTGCACACACATACACACCGTTTTTCACTTTTTTTTTTTTTTTTGTAAAAGAAAAATTTTGCACCAAAAATTGTTGTTAATTTTTATTTTATTAAATCACCATAAATTAAACTCGCGTTTTAATTTGTTCGTATCTTTTATTTATTATTAAATCCGATAATTTTTCGCTTTTGTGTTATAAATAAAAATTGTTTATTTATTGATATTTGACAATAAATAATAATTCTAAATATGATTTGAAAGAAAATAAATAAATATTTACAAATAAAATAAAATTTATGTTGATTTTGAAATAATTATTTTATAGCTAATAAAAAACAAAAATTTATGACTGAACATAATAATTATTTATATATTTTAATTAAAAATAGTTTTTATTATATATATATATATATATATATATATATATATATATATATATATATATATATATATATATATATATATATATATATATATATAAAAAGAAAAAAATTGTTTTTAAACTTTTTACTATATATAAATTAAATCATTTAAATTTTTTTTTTTTATATATTAAATTTAAATAATTAAACAAATTAATTATCGTAAGTGGAAAAAAAAATTTGATATAATTTATTATTATTTAAATATAATTTGTTTTTAAAACTAAATAATTAGCTTTTTGAACTAAGAAGAATCGTTGTAAAAAAAAAAAAAAAAAAAAATAAACAAAGAAAACAATTAAGTTTATTAATAAAAAAAAAAAAAAGAAAAGAAAATTCTATTTTTAATGTTTCTAAACGTGATAAAAATTTTAATGAAAGTGAAAATTATTTTTAATCGACAGTGAATAAAAAAACTAATTGAAATTTATTATTATTAACGTTCAATTTATGAATTCTTTGGAAATTAATTATTATTATTTAACTTTGATTAAAATATTATTTAATGATGACACTATTTACAAAATAAAATTAAAAACTAAAGAAAAAAACTAAAAAACTAAAAAAAAACTAAAAAACTAAAAAAACTGTCTACTTGACCAATTTACTAAAACAAACTAGTTTAATGCTTTGTAGCGAAACACAATTTTTTTTTTTTTTTTTAAAGAAAACATGCGTGTTTTCTTTTGTTTTTTTCCCTTTTCTATAATAAAAGGTAAATACGGAATTCATACAAATAAATAAAAAAAAAAAAGAAAATTTTTTTTTTCCTACTTTTATCTTTAATTTAATTTTTTTTTCTTACTAAAATTCAATTAAAAAAAAAAAATTACAACGGAAATGATTTAAAATAAATAAATAGGAAGAAAACAAGTTAAAAAAAAATTTTTTTTTTTAATATTAATTATTTATTTTTTATTCTGTGATGAATATATTTACAAAAAGTTTGTAAAAATTATTTTTAATGTTTCCTTTAAAAAAAAAAAAAAAAAAAAAAGGAATTAAAATTATTCAAAAAAAAAAATTTTAATAAGTACATATATACATAAAATGACCGTTATAATTATTAATGAAACGTTTTTTTTTTAATACTATCTTTAAGAAAGTAATAATTATAACTTTAAAAAATGATTTCCTTAACAAATTACCATTTAAATATTTATTGTTTATTTTTTTTTTTTTAATGTATGTGTTTAATAATGATTTTAAAAAAAAAAAAAACCTGTCGTTTTTTTTTTTTTTATTGATTTATTATAACTAAGCTCAAAAACTATAATTAATGGCGAAGTACAGAAAAAAAAAAAAACGGCAAAATCGATTATTCAAATTTGCAAAAAACCCCCTCGATAACAAAAAAAATTTACTTATTTTTATTCATTTATTTTCTTATTATAATTATATTAAATTTTAATTTTTTTAGTTTTTAATAGAAATAAATTGAAATTTTTTATGTAAAGTAAATTTTTAAAAGAATTCCATTGAAGTTGTTGTCAATTCAAAAAGCTAAATTAAAAGTCAATTTTCTTTTTTTGTTATGTAATCATCAAAGGGATAAATATTTATAATTTAGTTTAGTTTTTAAATTTTATAAATTTATTTTAATAAAATTGTGCAAATAATTTACTAAAAAAAAAAAAAAAAAAAAAACTATAGTAATCACACATGAGAGAATTCATTTTTTAAAAAAAAAATTACAATTTATTTTTTATTTAATGTAAAACTAATTAATTTATTTATGTTATATTATATATATTTAATTAATTTAATTGAAATTTCAAGTATGAAATGATAGCAAAATAAATAAATAAATTGATGGAATTGTTACAAAAATGTTTTTAACCGAATAAACGTTTAATTAAATGTCATGACGGATCAGGTATGTTGCGGATAACAATGCTGCCAAAATAATAATTTCCTATCAGGTGTCTACCCTGCCAACTCAAAACATATCCCGTAATAAAATAAAAAACTTTTAAATAGAAAAAGTGTAACATATTTTTGTGTTGTTTTTTTTTTATTTACGTTTATAATATTTAATTAAATAAATGAAATGAAGTAAAATATGACATCTGTAATATTTGGTGTAGGAGTGGGTTTGGTTATTTTGATAACTGTTTGGTTAATTGCGATATGTATTGGCATAATATCATTTCGAACAAAACGCAACATTGGAAACATAACGATATTTATAGCCGTGTTATTTACAATTATTTTACTGTTAATACCACTTGATAGGAAAACGCCGACTCCACAAGTTTATCGAGTGAGTTTTTTTTTTTTTTTTTAGAATAATTTTTTTAATTTGATAATTATTATTATTATTTGAATTAAATATTTTAAAATATCAAACCTCGTGTTATGTATATTTTTTTTAAAAATTCTCTTACATTGGTAAAAGTAAAATTTATCCATTTTCTTTTTTTGGTTAAAAAAGAAAAAAAAGGAAATTTATTCTACAAAAAAATTTTTTTTTTTGAATAAATTACGTAAAATATTGTAAATAAAATAATAAAAATTAATTTTTTTTTTAAAATTATTTAAATTCATATGTTTAGTTTGAAATTTTTTCTTAAAATAACTGAGTGGGATTTAAAATTATATTTAAAAAAAAAAAAGAATTTTTGGATAATATTGTCCATTTAATTTGAAAAATTAATTAAATTAATTAAAATTTTATTGATTTTTTAAAATAAAATTGTTATCATTATTATTATTTTATGGTTTTGTATAAGTACATTAAAATTCTTTTGTGTAAAGATCCAAAAATAATTTTTTTAATATTTGGGGTATTTCATGAACTGATGTTCTTACAATGTAAGAATAATAAATAAGAATTTGTAATGTAAAATGTTTTTATTATTCGAATTAAAAAAAAAAATTTCAGATGAATGAGGGAAAAAAAAATAATTATAAATTAACATTTTTGAATATGTATTAGTTAAATTTAAATAATTATGAATTTTATAGGTTTATGACGACGTATTTATTTGGAGAACTTCACTTCTTATTCTCTTAGCCTTATCCAGCAGTCTCGGATTTGTGGCATATATTACAAAACATTTAATGGAACCTAAACAAAAGACTATATTGTTAAAAAAATAATAGTAATCAAATATGCTAAGAAAAGCATTTTTAATTAGGAGAATGACATTAAGTGCGGTAAATCGCCGCAAATATCGTGAAATAGAAACAAATGATGAATTTGTTAAGCATGTAATTAATTCTGAATACCCTGTAGTTGTAAATTTTCATGCCGATTGGTGTGAGCCTTGTAAAAAACTTACACCAACCCTTAAAGAAATGATAGAACCATTAAATGATGTTAATTTAGCTATTGTCGATGTTGAAAAACATCCAGAATTGGTTGAAAGTTTCGAAGTGAAAGCCGTACCTGCTGTTGTTGCTCTTAGACATGGACAAGTCATTGATAAATTTATTGGTTTAGTCGAAAAGGATATGATAACTAAACTTATGGAAAAACTAGGATCGAATAAATCATCTGACTAAATTTAAATATATGATAGATAACAATAAGTTTTATCGTAGAAATTATTCTTTCTACATGAATTTGCTTTTGCTTTTATATCATAACCCATATTAATTTTTAAGTTTGCCAGGATTTATTTATAATGTAATTTTTGTGAATAATTATTTATCTTACTATGTCAGTGTATTAAATTTGAAAAATGTACTATATGTTTAGTTAACATAATGATATTGCACATTTTTAATGTATAAATTTTTTTTTTTTTTTTTTTTCTTATCAAAAAATTAAATATTATATTGTTTAAATAACTAAATTTTTTCGAAATATTTTCATTAAAAAATTTTTACTATAAAAATGTTGTATAGCATTGGTTTTTAAAACTTGTTCTTTATTATACAAAATATTTGTATTTGTTTTATTATTCAAAATATTTTATATGACAGCAATGTTAAGCAGTGCTTAAAATTTACAAAAAAAAAAATTTTTTTTTTGCGTCTTTCAATGTAAATCAAATTAAAATTATAAAAAAACCTATCAAGGCATAATTTAATTTATCGAATTTATTTTAATCATTGTTTGATATTCGGGGAAACTTCATTGTATTATTACATAGCTTTAATTTATTAAATGATGTATTTAAAATAGTCATTTTTTTTTTAATTAAACCTTTATTATGTTTTTTGATTTTTTGGAAAATTTTTATGTAAAAAGAAAATTGACTTGAATTATTTAAAAGGAGATATAAATTGAATAAAAATTGTTACATTATATTAAAGTATAGCTGAAATACTTGTGCACGATATAATCGCACAATAAGACATTTAAAAAAACGAATAAAAGTATAACGATTTTTATGTTTTATTGTGATAATTTCCATTTTATTCATTGTAACATGTTAAAATTTGTTATAGACATATTAGTTCTGTTGTAGTTGGCTTTAATTGAAGTTTATTTATGTTAAAATCCTAAATTTTAACATTTTATAATTGTAAAACTTCAATTAAATGACGAGAAATATTTCAAATGTAGGAATAGAACAAATATTGAAATTCTAAAGTTATTCTCGGTATTTTATAATGATACTATGGTGTACTGG